TCTAAGACACATTGGTTAACAACAGGGGCGGCTCAACCCATTACGCAAAGTAAGCATTTGCAGTATAGTTGATTTTGCTCAGGGGTGCTCTTGAGGCACACTTGAGGGAAAACAGACCTTGACATATGCGAGTTGTAGTTACTGGGATGTATAGTTCACCTACAATCCAAGGGCATTCTAAACTCCACCAATGATGGAATTGAACCAAATATGGCACACAGAACTCCCATGATGAACAGAAAATATATATCAGTGATTGTTTGGGGGGGGGGGCAAAATACTGTTTGCTTACCGTTGAAAATTACCTAGGGCTGCCTCTGGTTAACAATCAAATAAAGGGGATTCCACATCTACTCAGCATTCACACTATACATACACATTCACTCTTCACATGTATACATCACAATTCTTCCTCCATCTCCTGGAGAAGAACACCTGCACTTAGGTCAGATTGCTTCCTTGTAAATATGCCACTTTTCAAATACTTCCAACACGCATTCTTTCCTTTCATCTGAGAAAGAAGCGAGTGACCATGTCATGAATAACCTTTCAATAACATTAAAACATAGGTTCTTTTTATTGCAATTTCCAGTGTGAGAGGGCGTATCAAAACTTTTACAGAACTTTTACACAAAGAATGATATTGGACATACAGACATACAGATTCTATGCAACTACGCTGGACTTACAATTACATGGCTAACAAACAAACAAAGGAGAATTACATTTTCAACCACCACCACCACCATTATTATTATTATTATTATTATTATTATTTAAAACTTTTATACCCCGGTCTTCTCAACCTCTATAGAGGGACTCAGGCCGGCTTGCAACATAAATTAGTACACAAAAACAATTATCACATCAAAAACATAATCACATCAAAAAGTTAAATACAACAGAATAAATACAAAAACCAAGACACCAAGATAAAATCACGTTCATCTCAATCCACCAGTGTGGTCAGTAGCTATTAGCTAATGCTGAACTTCCCAATCATTCTGAGAACGCTATGGATTTCACTAGCTTTCTGAAGGTCAAGAGGGAAGGGGCAGATCTAATCTCCATCGGGAGAGAGTTCCACAACCAAGGGGCCACCACCGAGAAGGCCCTGTCTCACATCCCCACCAGACGCGTTTGCAAAAGTGGTGGGACCGAGAGCAGGGCCCCTCCAGAAGATCTTAATAACCTTGATGGTTCATAGAGGAGAATCAGTTCGGACAGTTACACACATGTACATGTATTCATCCTCATGCATCCGAATATTATAATATCCTTTTTCCCTCCTTGGAGAAGCACCTGTTAGGCCAGATCCTGCTTCCCTACAACCTGCCAATGCATAATTCTAAAACTTCCATAACTTTAAAACTTCAAAATGCCAAATATTCTTCCCTAAGAACAATGCCAAGGCACAGAACCTGACTCCCTGCACAAAATCTAAGACCCCCAAAAGTGCACTTCTTCCTCTTCCCTTGAGAAAGAAGCCCCAAAGTGACCAGACTGCTCCCTTGCAAATCTGCCACTCTCCGAATATACCACCTCTGTCCTTCCCATGGAGCAGAGAGGCGGGTGGAACATACTCCTGCGTTCTTCCACAATTTGAGAATTATTAGATTGAGTCTTTTATAGGAATATTCTGCTGATGTAGTCCCAAAGTTGTAAATTGATGAGAGACGTCTTCCATCCTGGCTCCATCTCAGTTTCCTGGACAGATGTTGATTCTTCCTGATTGGTGTTAGCCTTGTGTTAACTTCCTTCTTAACATTGTAAACATTTATCTTATCACTGTCCAGTTCTTATCACAGTTTATTTTCAGTTCTTATTAGCAACTTTTAACTACAGTCCAGCAAGCGGGTAGTTAGGCATTTCAGGCATTGGTCTTCTAGAAATGGTGTCTCCAAAATTATTAGTTAATCCATACATCCTTCCATTCAATTCATTCATACCCATGTATCATATTAAATCCATATTTATCAAATCTGCAATGATATTTTCATGATAACCAGACTCTGAGTTCCATCGCAGATCTGCCACTCTCCCAAATACACCAACTCTCTCTCTTTCCCATGGAGAAGAACTTGGCGGGTGACCAGACCAGCTGTCTGCCACAATTTTGGAATATTAGAAGTTCTCTTATACAGCAATATTCTGCTGATGCTGTTCCAGAAAGTTGACAAAGCTCTGAATGAGTTACAAATTGTTTTCCAGCCTGAAACTTCACAGCTCTGATCAGTTTCTGGGCAGATGTTGACTCCTTCTTTCAATGATAATTGGTTTCCTTCTCAAGGAGCCTTGTGACTTCCGTAAGTTAAAGAGTAATTGTCTTTGGTAATGTAAACATGTTGTTTTCCACTACAGAGTTAATCAAGTCAGCAATGTCAACAGTTAATCACTGTCACAGTTCTCATCAGCAACTTTTAATTACAGTTCAGCAGCTTAGTTCTTTTCCAGGCCTCAATATTTTAGAACTGTGTCTTCAGCACAATTAGGTCCCATTTATACTTTTTTCATACAATTTCATTCAAACTATACATCATATTTCATGACATATTGATGTATTCTGGGTTTCATGCCAGATTTTCAAGGAGTTACCAAGGATCGCCAACTTATTTGGGAGATACAGGTCAGCAGCTTGGAGAGATCTTTTAACACTTGAACTAAAATCCAGAGATAGCTCCTTTATCCAATTGACATGGAAACCATAAGAGTTCTGAGAATGACCATATCAAGAATTATACATCTGTAACTGTTTGTATTCACACCCCCTACATTAGTGGTTCTCAACCTGGTGTCCCCAGATGTTTGGGCCTTCAACTCCCAGAAATCCTAACAGCTGATAAACTGGCTGAGATTTCTGGAGTTGTAGGCCAAAAACATCTGGAGACCCCAGGTTGAGAACCACTGCCCTACATGTTCATGACTATAGTGAGGGTAGTGGTTCTCAACCTGTGGGTCCCCAGGTGTTTTGGCCTAAAACTCTCAGAAATCTCAGCCAGTTTACCAGCTGTTAGGATTTCTGGGAGTTGAAGGCCAAAACTTCTGGGTTCCCACAGGTTGAGAACCACTGGTGTAGGGAATATACAGGGATCATAAAAGGCACCCAGCCCTACTTAACTGAGTATCAGTTGCTGTGAGCAATGGAGGTCAGTTCTTCTGTCGACTGGGGTGTAGCAGATGTTTCTGATTTTTTTACTCTGTTCTTGTGATGGAGATGGAATTTGCCTTTGTCACACCGGAGATTACTGGTGAGAAATGGGTGAAAATACCAGTCTTCTGCATCACTATTATCAGGAGAACAGAGCCCTATTAATCACAGTTGCTGCTCCTCAGTAAGGAAGGATGGGAGAAGCAAGGATTGGGCCAGGAGACCTTATTTAGTTCAGTATAAATAAGCAAGTAGCTGATCTAGACTCTTAGTCCATATTTCTGTCTGTGTACAACTTCAAGTCACCTGTCAATATATGGTGGACCCATGAATTTCATAGGGTTTTGTTAGATAAGGAGTTTTCAGAAGTGGGTTTTGCCCCATATTGCACACCAGAAGTTCCTGTATATCAATCTGGATGTTCGAAGCAACATCTAGTCCAATGCAGGATTTCTGACTAGTTAGACAAGACTCTTACAAATGAAAGACCTCCAGGACCACCTGTTATTATCAGCCCTGCTCAGCTCTTGCAAACTCACAACCATGACTAAGGCCCCTTCTACACTGCCATATAAAATCCAAATTATCTGCTTTGAATTGGACTATATGCCAGTGCAGACTCATATAATCCACTTCAAAGCAGATAATGTGGATTATTTGCTTTGATAATGTATAGCAGTGGAGAAGAGGCCTAAGTCGATCCAACTGCAATGCAGTCTTCCTCACTGGCATTTATTTATTTGTCGTGTCAGGGAAACCAGTCAATTATATTACATTTCTTACAGAACAAAGCAAACAGACAAAATGCAAAATTTGTGAGTTTGGTAGTTGATTAAATGTCCTTTGACCAGTATCTGGCCACTTGGAGTACTTCTGGTGTTGCTGCAAGAAGGTCCTCCATTGTGCATGTGGCAGGGCTCAGGGTGCATTGCAGCAGGTGGTCAGTGGTTTGCTCTTCTCCACACTCGCATGTCGAGGATTCCACTTTGTAGCCCCATTTCTGAAGGTTTGGCTCTGCATCTTGTGGTGCCAGAGCGCAGTCTGTTCAGCACCTTCCAAGTTGGCCAGTTTTCTGTGTGCCCAGCGGGGAGTCTCTAATTTGGTATCAGCCATTGGTTGAGGTTCTGGGTTTGAGCCTGCCACTTTTGGACTCTCGCTTGCTGAGGTGTTCCAGCGAGTGTCTCTGTAGATCTTAGAAAACTATTTCTAGATTTAAGTCGTTGACGTGCTGGCTGATACCCAAACAGGGGATGAGCTGGAGATGTCTCAGCCTTGGTCCTTTCACTATTGGCTGCTACTTCCCGGCGGATGTCAGGTGGTGCAATACCGGCTAAGCAGTGTAATTTCTCCAGTGGTGTAGGGCGCAGACACCCTGTGATAATGTGGTATGTCTCATTAAGAGCCACATCCACTGTTTTAGTGTGGTGAGATGTGTTCCACACTGGGCATGCGTACTCAGCAGCAGAGTAGCATAGCGCAAGGGCAGATGTCTTCACTGTATCTGGTTGTGATCCCCAGGTTGTGCCAGTCAGCTTGTTAATCATTGTGCAAGCTATTTATGGCTTGAATATATATATATATATAGATAGATAGATAGATAGAGAGAGAGAGAGAGAGAGAGAGTCCTAAAAGGAAATCTTGATTTTGTCATTTTATATATGGGACACCATTTTACTATGCCATGGTATATAATACGAGTTGAGCATCCATGGGTTTTGGTATCCACAAGGGTCCTGGAACTCAATTTCCAGTGGATACCCAGGGTTCGCTTTATTTAGCAGAGACGTTTCATTTCCATGACATTGAGAATTGCTAAAATGTTTAAAAAGAGAATTTTTGGCACAACACTATGTTTTAGTTCTTGGTAATAATCCATGTAGTTTATTTAACTGGAATAACTTTGCTAAGTGGCAGACCTCTGCTCCGGTTGGCTCCCATCCCTGTCTTCTCTCCCTTGTCCTACATTCTTCTATGGAGGGTTCAAGGCCTCCTGATAAAGATCTCACCCGTTTCATCCTCCAGGATCTCTTCAATCCGCCCTCTCTGAAAGGGAAAGGGAAACGAAAATGACTAAAGGGAAAGACATTGAACAATATTTAGGAAAATATTTATTCTGAATATTTACAGGCCTGGAGTATGGAATTGTGTTCAAATGGAGAAATATGGAGGAGGAGTAGTAGATGGTAATACTACCATTATACCTCTGATTAATAGCTACCATCCATATCCGTGCCCTGTTCGCCCCACCAGAACAATAGACATCTTGAGTAATGATTGATCCATTTGTCCCAAGGGATTGGGAAATTGATGCTTCTGTTTGATGTCTGGTGTTTTGTCTTATGTTGCATTTTTAATTTAATTTTAGTTGTTAAGGCATAATTTGTTTTTACATGTTGGGTTGTCAATTTTCATTGTGTCTGGGAATTGAATATTTGCCTTTTAAAGTTGAGTCTCGCTTATCCAACCTTCACTCATCCAACGTTCTGTATTATCCAACGTAGTCTACCTCCCACCCAGATCCACAGCTGTTTCAATACATTACGATATTTTGGTGCTAAATTCGTAAATACAGTAATTACTACATTACATTACTCTGTATTGAACTGCTCTTTCTGTCAATTTGTTGTAAAGCATGATATTTTGGTGCTTAATTTGTAAAATCATAACTTAATTTGATATTTAATAGACTTTTCCTTAATCCTTATTATCCAACATTTTCACCTATCCAACATTCTGCTGGCTTGTTTATGTTGGATAAGCAAGACTCTACTGTACTTACTTACTAATTAAGTACGTGAAATAAGTAAGTAAGTGCGTTTTATGTTTGGAATCCACCCTGAGTCCCTCTAGGGAGATAGGGTGGAATATATATAAAGATTATTATGATTATGATTATGGTAAAATGGGGACAGATCCCTTTTGAACTGCTTTTTCATGTGTTGTCATGTGTGTGCATTGGTTGTTTTTACTGTGGACTTTCAATTTGACTTATGGAAACTCACTCATGCAGTTTTCTTAGCAAGATTTGTTGAGAGATGGGTTGCTCTTGCATCCCTCTGAGAGAGTGGGGAGTTCAATGCCACTATACTATGCTTGCATTATACTATAACCATAGAGAATTTATTATTTATTTATTTACTATGTTTGTATACCACCCTTCTCAGCCCTTAGGCGACTCAGGGTGCTTTACAATGGCAGCATGATTATCCTTGTTTTAGAAAGTAACCACTGATCATACAGCTTTGGGAAACACTTTCTACGCAGCTCTTGAGCACTCTAACTGGAGGTCAGCTGTGATCAGCAGTGCTGCAGAATTTAAAGAAGCACCTACGGAGGGTGAAAAAGAGAAACATGCCAAGAGGAAGGCCCATCAAGCCAACCCTGACATGGACCACCTTCCACCTGGAAACCGTTGTCCTCACTGCGAGAGAAGATGCGGATCAAGAATAGGGCTCCACAGCCACCTACGGACCCACTGCCAAGACACCACATCTGATAGACAATCATCCTCGAGCTACGAGGGATCGCCTAAGTAAGTAAGTAAGTCAGTCAGTCAGTCAGTCAGTAAGTATATAACCATCCAGTAGAGGTTCTTACTATCTCAACTAGACAATCAGAAATTCATTGCTACTTTATTTGGCTTATTTGTAAATTTAATCTATATGTATTTTAAGTTGTTGTTATTGTATGATGTTTTTAGATTGTATTATTAGTACTGAATCCTGTTGTGAGCCGGTCTGAGTCCCTCCACAGAGGTTGGAGAAGATCGGGATATAAAAGTTTTAAATAAATAAATAAATAAATAATTTTCCTTCCTTCTTCCTTCCTTCTTTCCCTCCCCTCCCCTTTATATAGAAACAAAATTTAGTTGCTGATAGATAAAGGTAAAGATAAAGGTTTTCCCCTGACATTAAGTCCAGCCGTGTCCGACTCTGTGGTGTGGTGCTCATCTCCATTTCTAAGCCGAAGAGCCGGCATTGTCCATATACACCTTCAAGGTCATGTGGCTGGTATGACTGCATGGAGTGCTGTTACCTTCCCACCGAAGCAGTACCTATTGATCTACTCACGCATCTCCTCCTATGAAACAGTTAGGGCGTTAAGATCATCTGGGGAGGCCCTGCTCTCGGTCCCACCAGCTTCACAAGCACGCCTGGCGGGGACGAGAGACAGGGCCTTCTCAGTAGTGGCCGCCCGGCTGTGGAACGCCCTTCCTACAGACATTAGATCGGCTCCCTCCTTATTGACATTCAGGAAGAAAGTGAAGACCTGGCTCTTCGAACAGGCTTTCAACTAAGCAGTGCAATTGATTGATTTTTGGAATATGGATTAATGGACAACGAGATCGGATGCTGATTCTATTGATGAGACGTGATGGATTGTTGTTTTCCTGTATTGTTGTATTATTGTTGTATTGATGTTCTGATGTTAATTAATTGATATTACTGTTTTAAATGATTAATGATTTTGTACTGTGTTGTTGATACTGGTTGTTAACCGCTCTGAGTCGCCTGATAGCTGAGAAGAGCGGTATACAAGTGAAGTAAATAAATAAATAAATAAGTAATAAATTTGCATGTTTTCGAACTGCTAGGTTGGCAGAAGCTGGGGCTGACAGCGGAAGTTCACGCCGCTCCCTGGATTTGAACCTGCGACCTTTTGGTCAACAAGCTCAGCAGATAGATAGACACTACAGAGTTTAAACAAGTTTTTTTTGTTGTTGTTGTAATTCTGAAGTCCCAAATTTCCACAGTCGTATTCAAGAAGCTGACGTCCCCAAATGTAACTTGCAGATAATCAACTTTTTATCTATCCAGTTTGCAGCCTTGCCCCCAGAAGGAAGGAAACTTTCAAAACTCTTCCTCCTCACCTCCAAGAAAGAAATTAGCAGAGAGTTTCCTCCCTGCCCAACACATACCTGGACTGTGTTCATGCAGTCGGATAACTTTACCATGTTCCTCCTCGGAGGAAGGAAGACCTCCAGTCTCACAGCGCCTTTAGCGTTTCTCTGGAAGGAGACCAGGAAATTGATCTCTTGCGCCTGGAGTGAAAAGAAAGAGAATGGTCAGAGGCTGTTACGGAAGCCATCCAAATCTGAATATCAGGATACCCTCCAACATCGGAGACGATGGAAATAATTTGGGATTCCATTACATTAATAGCAATGAGGAATTAAGGCAAATCAACACCAAAGAATCCTGGGGGCACACCAAACTATAGGTCCCAGGAATCTGACTTGGCCACGGTGGTCCATGCACTTGTTATATCCCAAATAGTTTACTGTAGTGGTTCTCAACCTGTGAGTCCCCAGATGTTTTGGCCTTCAACTCCCAGAAAGCCTAACAACTGATAAACTGGCTGGGATTTCTGGGAGTTGTAGGCCAAAACACCTGGGGACCCACAGGTTGAGAACCACTGGTTTACTGCAACACGCTCTACGTGGGGTTGCCTTTGAAGACTGTTTGGAAGCTTCAAATGGTCCAAAGGGTGGCAGTCAGGTTACTAACAGGAGTGGCACTCAGGGAACACACTTCTCCTCTGTTACGTCAGCTCCACTGGCTGCCCATTTGCTACCAAGCACAATTCAAAATGTAGCTTATAAAGCCCTAAATGATTCTGGCCCAGCTTACCTGTCCAAATGTATCTCCTCCTATGAACCATCTAGGAGCTTAAGATTGTCTGGGGAAGTCCTGCTCTCAATCCTGCCTGCCTTGCAAGTGTGATTGGCAGAGATGAAGGACAGGGCCTTCTCAGTGGTGGTCCCCCGGCTATGGAACTCTCTCCCCAGGGATATTAGGTCAGCCCCCTCCCTCCTGACTTTCCGAAAAAAGTAAAGACCTGGCTCTTTGAGCAAGCTTTTGAGAATGCAGCGGAATAGATAACACGGAACTATGAATGATGGACATGGAATGGCCAGACGATGTTACTGGATAACATTTTTAACAAGATGACACCGATGATTATATGCTTTAATGGTTTTTATTTATGTTTTATATTGTAATGTTGATTGTTTTTAATGGCACTTTTATGAATGCCTGACATCCATTGTGCCAATCTGTAACCTGCCTTGAGTCGCCGTATGGCTGAGAAAGGCGGGCTATAAATATTGTAAATAAATAAATAAATAAATCCATAGCATTGAGCTGTAGCAGTGCAAATAATAATAATAATAATAATAATAATAATAATCTTTATTTATACCCCGCTACCATCTCCCCAAGGGACTCGGTGCAGCTTACATGAGGCCGAGCCCACAACACATCAATAACAAAAGCAATAACAACAGACAATAACAAAAACAGTTAAAATACATCTCATAAACAAAAATAAAATAAAATAAAGCAGTACAGTAACACAACAAGCATTTAAAACCCAAGGCTGGGCCAAATGAAAAAATTAAAAATAATGCTGGGCATGAGCAAGGTAGGATATAACAAATCAATCAATCCTAAATAAGTAATAAAGTGCATTTTGAGGGCATATTGCTGAGAAATTCATTATTCTGGAAAGGCACACTGGAATAACCACGTGTTCAGGCTCCTCCTAAAAATTGCTAGAGTTGGGGCATCCCAGATGTCCTTGGGAAGCAAGTTCCAGAGTCGAGGGGCCACCACCGAGAAGGTAGTAGTATCAAACTGAATTCATTCTACAGTATGATGCACCCCAAGACACTTGAAATGCATGCACCAACAGAAGTCACACACCACTACTATAAAGCATTACAGAGATGTAGCTCAATACACATGAAACCACTCTACAAAGACTGCAAAAGACTCCAGGTGTTGTTTATTGCCATTGGGATTGGGGGGGGGGGGGGGAACGACGACTACTCTGCCAGTGTTTTGTCTTGCAGGCTAGAATACCCCTAAAGTTGGCAACGAGCGTAAGGTTTGTTTGGACAGTAGCAGCAGCAGCAAATCCCCTTTCCAGGGTTGCTAACTATAGCATAGTGGAGGCGAAGGCCATAAATAACACCAGCCCCGAAGCCAAATTATGATATCATGTTGTTCCGAGATTAAAAAGAAAATACTTTCCTTGCGGCGGTCTGGTCTAAAATAAGCCGTTTCGTCCAGAATTGGCTTTCTCACGGGGATTATGCAAGGAAACTTGGCCCGGGGTTTGTAAACCATGAATAAAATGACAGCAATCAGGAGAAAGGTCTCCTGCACAGGAAGGCCTCCGGGGATCTTGGAGTTGCTGTCAAAACATTTGCCTTTGGGTTTGACAAGGAAGGGAAGTTGAGAGCTCCCATCTGGGCCTCAAGCAGGAATTCCAGGGTGTTTTAACTATATACTCCTGGCCAGGAATGGTAAACTTTTCCTAGGCAGGACTTCCCTGAACAAATCTCAGGGGAAAACAGATGAAATTGGAGCATGGATGGGCAACTGGACACAGACTGGGGGAGGGGAGCATCACCCCTCTTGACTTCTCTGCAAACTGCACCCCTTGATGCACCAAAAATTCTCAATTTTTCACGCAACCATAGAGTTGGAAGAGACCCCCAAGCGCCACCTAGTCCAGCCCCTGCGGTGTGGAACGCACAATCCAAGAACCCCTGACAGATGGACATCCACCACTGTTTAAAGGCCTCCAGAGAGGGAGACTCCACCAAACTTTCATAGAATCATAGAATCAAAGAGTTGGAAGAGACCTCATGGGCCATCCAGTCCAACCCCCTGCCAAGAAGCAGGAAAATTGCATTCAAATCACCCCTGACAGATGGCCATCCAGCCTCTGCTTAAAAGCTTCCAAAGAAGGAGCCTCCACCACACTCCAGGGCAGAGAGTTCCACTGCTGAATGGCTCTCACAATCAGGTTCTTCCTCATGTTCAGATGGAATCTCCTCTCTTGTAGTTTGAAGCCATTGCTCCATTGCGTCCTAGTCTCCAAGGAAGCAGAATACAAGCTTACTCCCTCCTCCCTGTGGCTTTCAAAAGAACTGTTTTCTAGATAGGTGTCACCCATTCTATATCTGTACATTTGGATTCTGATCCTGTCCTCTGGGGTATTAGCTCTCTACCCCAATTGGGATCATCTGCAAACATGATCAGCATGCCTTCTATTTCATCATCCAAGTCATTTTTTAATAAAGATGTTGAATAGCACTGGGCCCAGAACAGGACCCAGTGGCACTCCACTAATCCCTTCTCTCTAAAATGAGGAGGAGCATCCTTTGGATTCATTCAGTTAACCATTTCTCACTCCATTTAGTCCACATTTTACTAGCTCCTTTGCAAGAATATACTCTCATAGAATCATATAGCTTGAAGACACATCATGGGCTATCTAGTCCAACCCCCTGCCATTCAGGAAAAGCACAATCAAAGCACCTCCAACAGATGGCCATCCCACCTCTTTTGAAAAGCCTCCAAAGAAGAAGCTTTCCTTACATTGAGGTAGTGAGTTCCACTGCTGAACAGATCTTACAGTCGGAAGTTCTTCCAAATGTTCAAGTGCAATCTACGAGGGGTATTTTTTAAGTAAGGTCCGTTTTGTTGTAGACACTAGTAGTTTGAAGACACATCATGGGCTATCTAGTCCAACCTGCTGCCATACAGGAAAACCACAATCAAAGCACCCCCAACAGATGGCCATCCCGCCTCTGTTTAAAAGCCTCCAAAGAAGAAGCTTTCCCTACACTGAGGTAGTGAGTTCCACTGCTGAACAGCTCTTAAAGTCGGAAGTCCTTCCAAATGTTCAAGTGCAATCTACTTTCCTGTAATTTGAACTCATTGCTCCAATGGATGATGATGCACCAAAGTGAAGTTCCTGTCCAGAACTGAATGCAACTGTAAATGTTCTCCATCAAACAAAAAGGTCCAACAAATTCCAAATGGAGATATATGCATTCATGAAAAATCAACCGGTTTGTGCATTCCTAGTCTGTTTTCTGCTCTAGTTTTCACTCCATATAGGGATTTCTCCTTTTATCTCACACCTGCTACACTTGCTCAGATACCAGGGACTTTGCCCAAAGGCTTCCTGAATTCCATCAAGACACCATCAAACAAGAACCATGGAAACACATAGACAGAAAAATCTGACTACTGCTCCAAGTGAAACAACAGCAGCAGATGGGTTGGAAAACAATTTTAACAAGCCACTGGTAAAGCACATTAAATCTAGGCCAGGAAAATTCCTTTAGAGGACTTTTAAAAAGGAAATGTTTTTGTTGTAAGAGAGGGGAACAAGATGCCCCTTTTTGGACATGTTGTGGGCCTCCAGATTTTAGATATGCCTATTAAACTCTTTTCTTTAGTCCTAATTAAATTGAAAACTGGCATGCATTCAAAGGCTTCAAAAACTGAGGATTCACAGAGGGTCCAGCTAAACTGTAAAATTAGTACGACTTGAAACCATATTGACTGGCATGACTCAGTGTTATGCAATCATGGGAATTGCAGCTTCACAAAGCAGTTTGCCTATTCTTCCAAAGTGTGCTGCTCCCTTTATACAGGTTGGGTCCAGACTTTGGATAATCTACTGTCTGGGAGTTGTAGTCCGAAAAGGGTCTCCTTACTTGGGTTCAGTGGATGGGCAGTGGGATCCTTTCATGCTACACAAAATATTATGTTTTTGTTGTTGAAACTTCAAATATGTTAACGTACGATAGGTTTATTACTTATACACACAATATAAAGAAACAACTTACTGTATATACTAGGGCTGGGCGGTTTCGTTCGTTAATTTCGTAATTCGTTATTAATTCGTTATTTTTTTGATAACGAAGCGATATTGAACCATTCAGGAGCAACTAAAAAACGAAATGAATTTTTCCAATTCGTTTCGTAATTGTTTCGAAATTGTTTCGTAATTGTTTCGAAATTGTTTCGTTATTATTTCGTTATTATTTCCGTATGTCTGGTGCAAGTTTTATAGTCGTTGTTTGTTTTATCAGTGATAAAAAAAATTATCACACCAACAGTCAACAACAGAGGGAGAGGGAAGCTTCAGAAGTTTCCCCTGTCCCATTTGGAGGTTTTTTAGCGTATTGCGCGGTCGCGTCCGCCATTAACGAATCGATTCGTTATTGTTTTGAAATTGTTTCGTAATTTCTGAAATTTCGTAAATATCGAACTTTTTAAAAGAAAAATTTCGGAATTCTTTTAAATAATGAAACGCAAAACCCCCCTAAAAACGAATCGAGTTTAGAAACAAATTTTTCCGTGGTTGCCCAGCCCTAGTATATACCCAAGCATTAGCCTAGTTTTTCAGCCCTTTTTTAGGTTGAAAAAGCCCCCCTCGGCTTATATTTGAGTCAAAGTTATTTATTATTTTACTTTGTTGTTGTTATTATTACATTTATTATTTTACTCTATTTATTATTATTATTATGTTGTTGTTATTGTTATTATTATTATTAAATTTATTATTTTACTCTATTTTTATTTTTTTATTATTATTAGATTTATTATTTTACTCTATACATAAGCATATTTACATTGGAGAAAGTTAAAATAATGGTTTGGTTGGACAGTTTTATCTTAAATTACAGTTTTATGTAAATATTCAAAAATATTTAATCTTGTGATTTCTCAATTAATGTAATTTTATTGGTATCTGTTTTTGTTTTGAAATGTGGAAGTAGCTGCGGCATTTCACACCCTCGGCTTAGACTTGAGTCAATAAGTTTTCCCAGTTTTTTGTGGTAAAATAATGTGAATCAGCTTATATTCGGATCAGCTTATACTCGAGTATATACGGTATCTCTATCATGGATAAACGTCCATATTCATGTAGATAAACATAACTGTCCAAACTGTCTGATGATTGGAAAAGTCACATATAAGTATTTCAAAGGACATAATACTTTGTGTACATAAAACTTTGTGTATCTTAGTAATAGATATCTGTGTTCTATATATCCTTTCATGCTAACCAATTATAGCACATTCTTTGCACTTAAACTGCCTTGGCAACATCATACAGAATCCTGGGATTTGGAATTTACAGGAGTGTACTTAGAATTTTCAGCTAGAGAACACATGAAACTACAAATCCCAGAATTCTGTAGGATGCAACAGTCTTAAGAGATCCAAACGCTGCCTAGGGATGTATCTACACTGTAGAATTAATGCAGTCTGCCATGGCTCAGTGCCGTAGAATCATGAAAGTTGTAGTTTAGTTTTACATGGCCTTTAGCCTTTTTGGCCAAACTACAACTCTCAGGATTCCACAGCATTGAACCATGCGAGTTAAAAGTGGTGTGAAATTGCATTAATTCTAAGGTGTAGACACAGCCTTGGTGTATTATGAAAACACACACAAGGAAGAGGGATGCCCTGTGAACCATCTTTGATGCTACATCATAAAGTATCTTATGAGGTTCCTCCACCTCTCCCCTGTTGTGCCATACCAACCAGCTACAGCAATTACTCCCAAGCTTTGGTTCTCTTCAACTCCTAGAAGCCTCAGCCAGCTTGGTCAGCTGTTAGGAGTTCTGGGACCCAAAGTCCAAAATATGTGGAGGGCCAAGAGTTGGGAATGATTGAGCTACAGTAAACTCACTCTCAGATTCTGGTGCTGGAGCCTTGCGTTGCGGAGGCGGTTCCGAGCCTCGGCGGCCTTGAGGATCCCAATGAGGTTATTCTCTTCCGCCTGCTTCTCCTCCTCCCCGACAAGCTTCCTGTCCTTCATAAGTGTGGCGGCCAACATTGCCTTCACTTTGGGATTGCAGGGATCAGCAAAGGCCAAGTAGCGCGCAGTCTGTTCGGGAGTCATTTTGCTGACTTCGTTGGTGGGAGAAGCCTTCTTAAAGCGGGCGAGAGGTTTGCTTCTCTGAAGCGTTTCTGCTTTGGACATCTTGGTTCTCTCTCAGGCCTGGACTGAATGGTAGAGGATGCTAGAGGGAGACAAAAAATATAATAACTCTAAAATGGTAAAAATGCAGTAATTCTAAAATTGGAAAACACAAAGGGATAAGGTGTGAATACCCTAGAGGCAACATATCCTGTCTGATTTTGGATGTTTAGCAGGGCCAGTCTTTGATAGTATTTGGATGGGAGGTGAACAACAAATGGCAGGTGGTTTAGACTATATTTCAAAAGACAAAACTGTCAAATGTATTGTCGAAGGCTTTCATGGCCGGAATCACTGGGTTGCTGTAGGTTTTTTCGGGCTATATGGCCATGTTCTAGAGGCATTTTCTCCTGACTGTTTCGCCTGCATCTATGGCAAGCATCCTCAGAGGTAGTGAGGTCTGTTGGAGCTAGGAAAAAGGAGTTTGTATATTTGTGGAATGACCAGGGTGAGACAAAGGACTCTTGTCAGTTGGGCTAGGTGTGAATATTTCAACTGACCACCTTGATTAGCATACAAAGTGTTGAAAACCATACATTATGTTCATTGGATGTAGGATCTAATGAACTCAAAGCTGTTTGAGGTGCTGAATCTTAAGCATTAAACTCAGAAAAGAATAATTGCACCCTTGTCATGGAAACTTCTGGCTATTACTCAATCACAGTTAGAAAACTGTGGCTTTTTCTCTCAATGATGGACCGGAATTCCTACAATCCATTTGTTTTGGTAGCTTAGTTTTGGAGCTCAATCCAGCACCATCTGATGGGCCACAGACAGGAAGAACTTCCTGACTGTGAGAGCTGTTCAGCAGTGGAACTCTCTGCCCCGGAGTGTGGCGGAGGCTCCTTCTTTGGAGGCTTTGAAACAGAGGCTGGATGGCCATCTGCTTGGGGTGCTTTGAATGTGATTTTCCTGCTTCTTGGCAGGGGGTTGGACCGGATGAGGTCTATTCCAACTCTATGATTCTATGATTCTAAGTGGCTGATACTTTCAAGTTTAGATCCGAGTTTGGAAAAGTGATGTTCATGGACATCGGTTCCCAGAAGCTGCCTGGAAGACTCTAGTAGTTAGATCCCACAAAAGAATCCTTTTCAGGCTCTCTTTGAGGTCAAATTGGTGATTAAAGAATTATTTGCACATATTGATTTATGTGATGTGAAATACTGCGGTCATCTGGTTTTATTCTCTTCTTTGCTGGAAATGGTTAGGCTGGAAGTCGTTTTGTTGTTTTAGCATAATGGCTTTTAATTACATTTTATCTCTGTATGTTTCTAAGCTGTCCACGGGACAATGTTATTAGGGGACATAAATTCAAGGAATTCCTTTCCACAGGAGACACATCTCAATTTCCTCACTAATGACATTCTGGAAGCTGGTCAAGTGCTTCCCTTTTGAGAAGGCCTCCGATAGATAAATGTCAAATGTGATTTTTAATCTTTGTCCCTTGAATATTTTAATTACTTGGGCAGCTGCTGTAGACTTGTGGCATACTGCTGATTTTATTTTAGTGAGTTCTGTTTTAACAGTAGCAACAAGTAGCTGTGTGTCTTCAAGCTGACTCCAACTTATGGTAACCCTATCAAAGAGATTTCCAAGCAGGGTTTCTTCAGAGGAAGTTTGCCATTGCCTTCCTTTGAGGTTGAGAAGATATGACTTGCCCAAGGTCAACCAGTGGAGCTTCCAAGGCTAAGCATAGATTTATAACTTGGTTAGCAAGACTCTTGGGTTTGGGGCTGCGATGGCGCTGCGCGTTAAACTGCAGAGCTGCAGAACTTGCTGGCTGAAATGTTGGTGGTTTGAATCTGTGGAGCGGGGTGAGCTCCCCCTGTTAGCCTCAGCTTCTGCCAACCTAGCAGTTTGAAAACATGTAAATGTGAGCAGATGAATAGGTACCGCTTCTGCAGGAAGGTAATGGCACTCCATGCAGTCATGCTGGCCACATGACCTAGGAAGTGTCTACAACACCGGCTTTTCGGCTTAGAAATGGAGAGGAGTATCACCACCCCAGAGTTGGACTTGACTAGACTTAATGTCAAGGGTAAACCTTTACCTTTGCAGGACTCCCGAGAGCCAGACTGGTGTAGAGGTTTGAGTGTTGGGAATAGTAAACTAGGGGCCCTTCCACACAGCCCTATATCTCAGAATATCAAGGCAGAAAATCCCACATTATCTGAGTGTGGACTCAGATAATCCAGTTCAAAGCAGATATTGTGGGATTTTCTGCTTTGATATTCTGGGATATAGGGCTGTGTGGAAGGACCCCAGGGTTCACATCCCATTGGGTGACCTTGGGCAAGTCACATACTCTCAGCCTTAGAGGAAAGCAATAACAACCTTCTCCCTTTGAACAAATCTTGCCAAAGTTGTCCTTAGGGTCTTTGTGAGATACCACCCACACTAAAAAACACCACCGGTTTGACACAACTTTGGCTTCATTCTATGGATTTGTAGTTTGTTGCAGCACCAAAGCTGTCTGAAAGATAAAGAAAAATATTTCAGAAAACTACCACTGAACCATAGTAGTCAAAGTGGTGTCAAATTGTATTCATTCTACAGTGTAGATGCACCCCAAGAGCCTGAAGGCTTATCTTCCAGATAAGTCATAGGGAGGAGGGAGCAAACTTGTTTTCTGCTGCTCTGGAGACCAGGATGGAACAATGGCTTCAAACTACAAGAAAGGAGATTCCACCTGAACATTAGGAAGAACTTCCTGACTGTGAGAGCTTCAACAGTGGAACTCTCTGCCCTGGAGTGTGGTGGAGGCTCCTTCTTGGGAGGCTTTTAAACAGAGGCTGGATGGCCATCTGTCGGGGGTGCTTTGAATGCAATTTTCCTGCTTCTTGGCAGGGGGTTGGACTGGATGGCCCATGTCCAGCAGTTCAATTAGCTTTTTAAACATATTGGCTGAACCTCCTATTGAATTTAGCTCTTGGAGGGCTTTACAAGCATGTAACAGAATTGCCAGCTGTTTACCATGTAACAGAATTGCCAGATTGCACTTGAGTCTCTGCCTTTGACAGAAAAAAGAGAGCATTGCATAGAGATCAGCCTATGAAGTCCATGAAAAGGCATTTCTGGGCTCAGCAATTTGATTTGAAGTGGGTCTTCAAAGGAACTCTAAGGAACATTCAGAGACCAAAATGTGATTTAGATAGTAACATCACGAGCTGCAGTCATAAGCTAGAGTTATAGATGTGAAACTGCTCTGTATTCAAATGCATAGTTAAGTTAGTCTGGAATATCAGTATGCAAAACAATTGTGCATTATGTGTGGCACCTTTGAGCATGGGAGAAAGAAGTCGGTTGCAGCAACCTTCATAAAGATGCATCTACATCAGGCATGGGCAAACTTTGACCCTCCAGGTGTTTTGGATTTGTAGTTTGTTGCAGCACCAAAGCTGTCTGAAAGATAAAGAAAAATATTTCAGAAAACTACCACTGAACCATAGTAGTCAAAGTGGTGTCAAATTGTATTCATTCTACAGTGTAGATGCACCCCAAGAGCCTGAAGGCTTATCTTCCAGATAAGTCATAGGACGTGGAACAATGGATTCAAACTAAAAGAAAGGAGATTCCATCTGAACATTAGGAAGAACTTCCTGACTGTGAGAGCTGTTCAGCAGTGGAACTCTCTGCCCTGGAGTGTGGTGGAGGCTCCTTCTTTGGAAGCTTTTAAATAGAGGCTGGATGGCCATCTGTCAGGGGTGCTTTGAATGCAATATTCCTGCTATAATCTGTACTGCAGCATCAATGAGCTTTGATGCCACTTTAATTGCAATTGCTCAGTGCTTTGGAATCCCGGGAGTTGCAGCTTTACATGTCACATACTCTCAGCTTCAGAAAACTCTGTCAGAGGCTCTTCTTAGGGTTACCTTAAGTCAGAAATGACTTGAAGAAAGACAACAAGAGCGGTCTCAACACCTTGGACAATCCCATTAGCTGCTTTGAGTCCCCAGGTGGAAAAACGCAGTGTATAAATAGACTGACAAAGTTTTGGAAAACAATACACCAAACATCACAATTGTAGAAAAGAAAAAAGTTTGGATTATTGATGTTGCCATACCAGGTGATAGCATCATTGACGAAAAACAACAGGAGAAACTCAGGTATTATCAGGACCTCAAAATCCAACTGCAAAGGCTCTGGCATAAACCAATACAGGTGGTCCCAGTGGTCATTGGCACACTGGGTGCTATGCCAAAAGATTTCAGCCAGCATTTGGAAACAATAAACTTTGACAAAATCACGATCTGTCAACTGCAAAAGGCCACCTTACTTGGATCTGTGCATCATTTGAAAATACATCACACAGTCCTAAATGCTTGGGAAAAGTTTGATTTTGTGATACGAAATCCAGCATGTATCTCTTATTTGCTGTGACATACTGTGTTTTTGTGTCAGAATAATAATAATAATAATAATAATAATAATAATAATAATAGTTTAGACTTACATATTGAAAAGATTGGCCATCCACCAACCAGGACTCTCTTTAAGAAATGTTTTGCTATTTAAAAGTGCAAAAAAGTAGGCAGCCACAGTTAAAAAAAAGAGATTTTTTGAAAGAGGAAATGCCAGATTTTTTTGATAAGGCAGAGGAAAAGTGTTTCCAGGTGATTCTTACTGACTCTTTAACAAGAGTTTCAGCCCCTAGAAAAGGAGAAGGCAGAGAATAAGAGAAAAGGAATCTAGCAGCAATAGCTGATTTATTTTCCATGGATTTTGAAAGAGATTGAAAGAGGCGGAAAAAAAGAAATGCAAAGATACAGAATGGGGGACGATGCCTGACGTGACAGCAGGACGTATGAAAAAGATCTTGGAGTCCTTGCGGACAACACGTTAAACATGAGCCAACAATGTCATGCAGCAGATAAAAAAGCCAATGGGATTTTGGCCTGCATAAATAGGAGTCTAGTATCTATATCCAGGGAAGTCATGCTATCCCTCTATTCTGCCTTGGTTAGCCTACATCTGGAATACTGTGTCCAGTTCTGGGTACCACATTTGACAAGCTGGAATAAGTCCAGAGGAGGGCAACTAGAA